ACCCCCTTCAATTTTTTAATTGGAGAGGGGTGTGGGTTGGGGAGGGGGTCGTTGACAACCATTATTGGCATGATTATAAATACTGACAATGATATTTTGCGTATCGAATAATTTAAATGAGAGAGCGTGGTTTTACGCCACTTTTAGCAATATTCCAGCAAAATCACGGCGGGGGACACCATAAATGGTATTATGACATTGTATTCATTCCGGGAATCGAAACCGGACCATTGGCATGACGAACGACAACTTCATCCACTAGGCTACCCCACCACCCATGATTGATCATTCCTATTGTGGGGTGTCCAGATTAACGAGATCGGGAATAACGAGTTTCGTATTTACATCATCCAGAAATGACAACCATGGGAACGTCGGGGATGTATCGCAGACAAAACAAAGAATACAGCCCATGCTAGTCAATCATTGGAGTCCTAAATGAGTATCTTGTATTACTTCGCAACGCGTCTAAATACTACATGATACATCACAACTATGGCCATGCGTGGGTTTAATAATGAATACATATTGATTTTGTGTTGTGTCATTTAACGACCGGCGGGAGATAACAGTGATACAATACCATATGATGGGGGTCACTTGCATCTTGCATCCAAGCCGTGCCAGTTCCCGCGTGGCACGTGAAATTGTGTCGCCGTTAATATTTCATCAAACGGACATTCCATGTATAATGTTGGTTTATTGCACAGGAATGTCGGCGGGGAACTTCCAATCCGCGGAGATATATTCATGTTGGTATTTTCAGACGATGGAACAATGCATTCTACGGAAAATGGTTCCAGTTATCGTCACGTAGTATATATTATATAATTTCCGGAGATTCCAAGCAGGGACACGATTTGGACACGACGTATCGACAGCCCATTCCCTGCATGCGATGTAGCCATCGCCATGGTGCTTCCAGAACCGGATACTACATCATTAAGATCATGTTGCTATTCTCGGGGATAATTGACATAAAAATACTCCTAAACACAAGATATTTGATCGTGCATGGCTAAGTCATGCTGATATCGATTTTTAGATGTGCATGCGGTTCAGATTGAAAACTTGCCGAGGTTTGGACGCGGATAGGGCACTGTCGAGATTATCTCCCCTTAGCTGCGAGGCTGTTTCTGGTCTCGAGAAACGTTTCGAGAGAGAGAGAGAGAGAGAGAGAGAGAGAGAGAGAGAGAGAGAGAGAGAGAGAGAGAGAGAGAGAGAGAGAGAGAGAGAGAGAGAGAGAGAGAGAGAGAGAGAGAGAGTGTGTGTGTGTGTGTGTGTGTGTGTGTGTGTGTGTGTGTGTGTGTGAGTGGGAGTTGGATATGTCTATGATAGAATATGCGTGGGTGGGCATACGACTACCGTCAGTCTATGTTAATGTTTGTTATACAATAGGTTTCGTACACGCATGAAGAAACAACAACAAATTCAGCATGACTTATTCTTCAAACATATTCAAAAGTATTTGTTTAAATTCAGTCACATATACTGGGAAGATTCCTAGTTGTGGCCGTTACTTTGGCCATACTTCCATTAAAGAGAGGTTATTATGTGTTCGAGCAAGTTCGCACTCCCAGGAGGTTTGCACCAAGTCATTAAAACAATCCTAATTCTGCTGACACAAGTTTGACGAGCTCCGGGATACAGGCAGAAAGTACACTTCAGACCGAGTCAGTAGTCGAGTAGGTAGAGCATCTGCCCGGAGCGGAATTGGTGGTTCACAGGAACTGAAAATTCACAAAATGCCGAGGAGAGGTAGATTCTCTTCGTTTTGACGTTCACGTTCTAAAAACTGTTAAACCATTACCTAGCAAGTATAAATCCCCTTATATCACTGTCGCGGGTATACGTTTCCTGAAACAAAATTACCACGGCTGGTTATTGTCGGATAATACCCCGAATGTATTTGATATACGTGGTAAGACTGTCTGTTCCATGACATGAACACATCGAAGAAATGCATCCCCTTATTTAAAACCTTCACAGGAATAGTTGATCAAATATATACAGTTACGGCATGGCGCGTTATCTGATATAAACACACACTGATGTGTTAAACATGATGTAAACCTACAAACGTTGTGTTATCTCGGCTATAAATTACCGTGGATATGTTACCCTGATATAAAATTACCACGGTTTTCAGATATTAAGGCAACCCTTACTACAGCCTAAGCGCTATATATAGGCGCCGGTGGATAAATCATATGTGTGTTTTTTATCTATATAGGAAATACGACAGATTAAAGAGATCGGGTTCTTTTCACACAAATCATTTTATCACTGCAATAAAACAGTCTGTCTGAAAAATGATGGCAAAAGTCTGTCGTGGCCCCAGGCTACGTGAGTACTTTGTCCCAAACACGCGGTATGGGGGGTCTACAGGGGGTCTAGATAGATCTACACGATCCTTAGAATGACATAATACCATAATTGGCGGGGCGCTAAATGTGAAACCTTAATTAGACAACTTATCACCACCCTGAGATAGTTTATCACACTTTAACCGCCATGTTGTTTTGTAACTTGTTATTTGTCAATCTTGTGTGTGTGGCATCCGATAGTTTTTCCATATTTATTCTGTTTGATGTGGGCTTGAACTTTATGTTTGAAGCACAGGGGCGCTTAAATTGTGTAATGGTATACGCTCCAAAGGTTAACCCGACTGGTCTCGGTTTGACCTTATCTATGTGTGTACACAAGCATTTGATTCACACACAATCTACATCTATTGAATAAATATCGTATCAAACACACCGACGGGGGATAACAATGTAAAATACAACATAGGTCAGCTGTGATTGGCTGACACTGTTAAACTCACGATTATCATATTATCCCAGTATGGTAGACAGCGAATTTGTGACAGACTTCTTTGTGTGGAGAAAGTGACATTTCAAAGCAATACTCCTAATTTCCTTTAATTTCGAAATGGCATCTTCAAATTATAGTCAGATATATGAAATGTGTGATGTTCTCTCTGTATAAGATGCAACAGTTGTATTTGTGTATAAACAAAGCAGTATCCAAGGTCGAACTTAATGTGAAATCTGGAGTTACACTCGGGAGAAAAACAAACTCTACCTCTCAACTGATTGCATCTCCGTTGAACGTGTTATAGATTATCGATATTATATTAAAAAATAAACGTACTGACGTTTAGAGAGCTTACTTTTATATGGTGTTATTTTACAACAAATTGATCTAATACTTTAAAAAATAAAATTAATAAATCACAAAGTACACAACTGCTAATGTGTATCCTGGGTGTCTTTCAAAATCAATACGTTTGCTTTATTCGGCACAAACTTAAAATTTCAAACATGGTAGGGATTATGTTGTTGTAAATTCGTTTCGCATCCAAGTCTTCACAGAATTACCCAGCCCCAGATTACTGTTTGGCTAACTATTGCAGGAATCAGAGATGGTAAGACATAGCAATCAAATTTAACAACGATTCTTTAAATTTCCAGTTACATAAAAACGCAAATTCGTTACACTTTGTTTTTCCCGGGCTTATTTCTTACCAGGGTGCGTACTGATTCCCTTTGTGTAACTACTACTTGGAGTTAGCTTGAAACATTTTAAGGCGAGCCGTGACTTCTGTATATAGACGTCTGTAACCGGTGTCTAAATACCCAGAAACACCTGTACTGTTAACAAATTGCCGCACAACATGTGTCGTATGTACACACAAACTTACTGTACCCGCGGGACACGCTCTCCTTCAGATAGGATGTAGTCTCTAAATGATGTAAGCAGATGATGTCATTTTGCTATGAAACCGTTTGGAGACCGAATATTATTTTTATTATGTTTCTTAAATGCTTCAAAATCAGTGTACCATGAATCTTCAAACGAGGTAAGATGCGCTTTGGTTATATTATCTGGTATTTCGTCAGTGACGTTTTCATAAAGTGTGTTATTACGTATATTGGTACCAAGCATCGAGATTTTACATACATAGTTAATATTTGTAGAACTTTGTTTCAACCAATGTCAGTAAAGTGTCACGTATTCTGCAACAGAGCATCGGAGTTCACTGAACATTTGAACACATTGTTGTTTCTGACGAAAACAACATATTGATACATTTCACTCATATTCCACTTTATTGGTTTAGTGATGATGATGATGATGATGATGATGACGACGACGACGATGATGATGGTGGTGGCGGCGATGATGACAATGAAATAGGCGATTAAAACGCTTACGTTGGATCCAATGTGGAACTGGACTGCCTTTCAAGACACTTGGAATGCATTCTACTTAACATGAAAGAAGGAAAACCTGGCATCAGCCTATATTGCATCATAGTGGCTTGTACAAACACAGTTCGCTGATGGAATAAATTGAAGTTTACACAACCAAATAGAATTAAATTGTTACTTCTTCATCTTAAACCCTAAGAAAACAACAAACTGAAATTAGGCCGCTTAAAAGTCGATTCCGACAGCAAAGCAGAGATGGTCAATCTCGGCGTACGGGTAGAACTGTTTGCACAGAGATTTGACTATGCACAGGTAAGCAAACAAACTGGACCCAGCAGATTGAGCTGACGTTTACCGGATGAAAATAGTCCTCGTTTGGGCTTTTTGAGATCTGATTTTACAAGCTTCAGTGGGTACAAACCACGTTTTTATTTTCATTGGTGCTTTTAAATACAATAGAAGGTTGAATACAAGTTACGTAATACTTTAGTCACAGGACGACCTATTTCCGAGAGAAATGTCCCCAGGATATTCTCAGTACGGGGTGCAGGGGTAGCAAAACTCCACCCCGAGCTACTGTCATTAATTGTCAACCAATCACGCACGGAGTTATTATTCTTGGGGATGTCCAAGTCCGCACTCGCTTGCACTGGTACGAGTTACCTATCCATGGCCGGCTAAATAAATTCCGATTGTATTGAACACCTTTTGTTTGGTCACGTGACAAAGCGTTCACGCAGTTCTATAGTGCCCCCTTTCTTGAGCGTGTCATAGTAATTCAAACTCAGCCAGTGACGCATAGATTGGATATAACCGACGTAAATACCTGGATATTGGTGTAATATCGAGGAGTACCCATCTGACATTGAAACGTGTGTTTATTTCACATTTTCTCATTCAGCGACTCGATTAACGGGCGGTGAACAGAACGGCTAGTTACCTATTGAAACTGCGTGCAGCCATTTTGAAGCAACGAGAGGTGGCTGGGAAGTGCTTGCCGTGTAGACGATGGTCGTGTTGCGAGGAGAGCAGGCATAGCAGGACCAGACGACGGTGGTGTAGAACATCGAAAGGCTCTCTGTGGACGATGTAGAGGAAACTGGTGCTTACAGTGTACTGTAAGTCGGGATCAAGGAATTACCTGTCTGTTCAAGTGGGTCGCGATGTCTGCTAGTCGATCCGGCGACATGGAGACAGAGAGGGTGCTGGGTCGGGCAAGGCGACGCTGTGTGTGTGATTTCTGGCTGTCAAGGGTCGCAAGACCCAGAACCAAAATGTTAGTATGTATTGTATTTATATTTCACATATCTTCAGCTTTGACATTCGATATACACATGTCGTCAAGTGATCCCGGGGGTACGGTGCTGTATAACGGGAGTCATGGGCCAGGGTGGTCGTACACCCTGGATAGACAAGTCAGCCGTCATGCATTACCTTATCTACAGCTGGACTCCACCACTGGTGTTGTGTATTTGCAACAGAATGTGCAGTGCTATCATGTTAGTGAAAATCCATTGAACTTTCGTGTTATTTCAAGGACTAGATACTCCAATCTCATTTCAAATTACTCAGTGACTCCGCTCTCTGTGTTCGTTCACGGTCACAAGTGTGGAGTGGCCCCCTCTCAGACGCTCAAACCTCAGCGGTTGAAAGACCCCCATTACGTTGTTGTCTACAGCAATCGGACAACAAACCAGTGCATTCCAAGGGGGCATCATGTAGCTTCATTAGCCAGCTATATTCCTTTATCATTAAGACAATGTGTTATTGTGGTGGACATGCCAGTTTCATTGGACTTCAAAGTGGACATTCAAACATTAGAAATAACAACTATTATCAGCAGGTGCTTGCAAGGAGGTGAGATCATTGCAGATTTCAATGTTTTGTTTTACTGTGAGAAATCATCAGTGTCAGTGCCATACCGTCTTATACTTCATTCTTTTAGTGGCCATTATTCTCCCAACTTCATCAATGTCAAGAAACGTCGCATGCGAAGAGCCATTGAAAATAACGCTCCTGTCTTTTCTAAAATACAATATGTTGAACATGTAAAAGAGGAGCAGAGGCCAGGGATCGTCGTGGCAACAATCACAGCAACCGATTCCGACACAGAAAGAGCAGGGACGATCACCTACAGCATGGTGCCAAATCGAAATGTTCTCAGTCAAAACATGTTCTCTATCCACCCGATTACTGGAACCATTAACACAACACAGACCCTAGATAGAGAACAAATTGCTGCGCATTATTTCATGCTGGTGGCGACGGATGATGGTAGGGATCCACTAACAGCCACAAGTTTGGTGGTAATCCTGGTTGATGATGTCAATGATAACCCACCTGAGTTCGAATCTAATCATTACACTCGTAACATCTCGGAGGACCAGCATGAGGGATACACGGTTCTCACAGTCCAGGCTACCGACAAGGATTTTGGCGACAATGCTGACGTGAGGTACACAATCATCAACACCGACGGACAGTTGCTGCCATTCATGATTGACCCTCTAACAGGAATCATATCAACCAGGGCAGTTCTTGACAGAGAGACGAAAGACAGTTACCATTTCCTTGTGAGAGCTGTGGACCAAGGGGAAACAACCAAACGGAAAAGTGCCACAACGACTGTTGATATACAGCTGAAAGATGAAAACGACAACAAGCCCCAGTTTGACAAGACAACATACCGAGTTCAAGTCCCAGAAAATATCGACATTTCATCTCGGCCAGTAATTCTGAACATCAGTGCCTCTGACATAGATCAAGGACCTAATTCTGATATTCGGTACAGCATGACAGGCAATGTAGACAACAAATTCCATATTGACAGTCTGACGGGATCGCTGAGCGTGATCGGCACTCTTGATTACGAAGTGTACAAAGAGTACAAGCTGAACATCAGGGCGGAGGACAATGGAGTACCATCACAGAAAAGCCAAGCCACAGTGTTGGTGGAGGTTTTGGATGTCAATGATAATGCACCCAAATTCTTCCCCGAAACGTACCAGGAGTCTGTGTTTGAGAACGAACCAGCAGGAACACCCATCCAGCAGGTGCAAGCTCATGACTCAGACTCTGGAGAAAACGCAAGACTGACCTACAGTATTATTGGTGCCCCTGCAAATATGCCGCTGGCGATTGATGACAAAACGGGATGGATCAAAACAAGTGCTAGTATAGACAGGGAAGTAGCATCTTCTTATGAGTTTCGGGTTCTTGCAATGGATCATGGGGAGCCTCAGAAGATGGCTTCAGCTCAGGTCACGATTCAGATACGCGACATCAATGACAATTCTCCAGCATTCACTCATCGAAAACATATCAAGCAGCAGTGTCTGAAGAGGCCAGAATAGGCACCAGCGTAACAACTGTAACAGCCATTGATCCTGATTTGGGAGATAATGCACGGGTCTCATATGACATCACTGGAGGAAATACGGGGACTGTTTTCCAGATAAGTCCAAACAGGGGAGAAGGAATCATCACAGTTCAAGGTCGTTTGGATGCTCGGACCCAGAGCGAGTATGAACTGACTGTCAGTGCAAGAGACTCGGGTGGAAAAACTGACTCGGCCAAAGTTTACATCAACATTACTGATACTAACCGAAATAGACCAGCGTTTCAGGGGACACCATATGTGAAACGTGTCGATGAGAATGTTGCAGTTGGGACTACAGTATTTAAAGTTCTAGCACTGGATAGTGATAGAGGTCAAAATTCTATAGTCACTTATTCCATTGAACCGGCATCTACATTTGCAATTGATCCAACCTCAGGGGAGATAACAACCAGAGCACTGCTTGATCGAGAAATGATACCAACGTACATGTTGAGTGTGACTGCGGCTGACAACGGCAACCCACCTCTGAGTGATACGACAGACATGGACATCACAGTGAATGACATCAACGATAACAGGCCTGAGTTCCTACAGCAGGAATATAAAGGCACCATTAGGGAAGACGAACTGCCGGGCACCAGCGTTATCCGTATCCATGCTGAAGATCGAGATCAGGGCCAAAACAAGCAGATCGAGTATACGTTTGATGGAGGAAACAACGGAGATGGGGACTTCAAGATCGACAGCGCTCGGGGAATAATACGAGTGGAGAAAGAACTCGACCGTGAACGTGTTGCCAATTATGAACTTGTTGCGTATGCAATTGATAAAGGCAATAAACCATTATCTACATCAGTTAAGATAAATATTAAAGTAGAAGATGTGAACGACAACGAGCCCCGATTTGCAAGTCGTCTCATCGAAGCACCTGTTCCTGAAAATACTCCTGTCGGTTCGACGGTGTGTGTCATCACAGCAACTGATCCAGATGAAGGGGAAAATGCTTTGGTAGAATATTCCTTTGCCGGGGGAGCTGATGTCGATTCCTTTGATCTCGGTGATATGAAGGGACCTTCAGCAAAAATTATCTCCCGTATTGACTTGGATTACGAATCGGACAAGAAGGAATATCAAGTGAAACTACGCGCTTCTTCGGGTCTTTTGTTCGCCATTACAACAATTGTGATCAAAGTACAAGATGTTAATGACAACCCCCCAACCCTAAAGGATTTTATGATTATATTCAACAACTACCCACACAGCTTTCCCTCTGGATCTATCGGACGTGTACCTGCGTATGATCCGGACGAGATTGACCGTCCTCGTCTTGTGTACAGATTCGTCTCAGGAAATGAAGCACGTCTACTTCACCTCAATGAATCAACAGGAGCGATAACTCTTGATGCCAGACTTAATTCTGATGTACCTCGACTTGGATCATTTGAAGTTAGCGTTTCAGGTAGGCAGATTTTTGTTTCCTCAAAATTAACTTGCTTGAAGCAATTGCCCTGTTTCTGGGAATTATACCAAAATCTTATCTTTTTGGTTTAAATTTTATGATGTGAAACAGCCACGAGCAAAACCTAGGCAACCCTCATAGCTGTTTTGATGTTAAAGCCTGAAAGATTTAATGCATGATTTCACATAAGTGCTGATGTTTGTAAGCCATAACTTTATGTTTACTATTTGGTTATTGTAGTTTTTATATTTTGTTCTTGTGGCTGAAATGTCCCTGGTCCTCCAATTTATTATATTCCTTCTCTATTACTAAAATGAGACAATTTCAGTGTAGTTGTGCAAATTCACGAACAGTGTGAACATATTGAGGCTCTCCTTTTTCATGATCTTTCTCCATGTTCATATTCACAAGTCCAAAGTTTCTTTGAGCTAGCGAGTGGCTTGCTCTTCAACCAGGCACCAGGCGTATAGGGTTCACTGCAAGCCTCTGATAATACATGATAATGTGATGAGAGAAGGTTAGGCTGGGAATACCATCTGACAGGAGTTTATTCCTCTAGATTTTAAAAACAGTTTATTTGGTAACTGGATACAGGCAGGTTACCCCCAGCCCTTGGATGTAGGTGTCCATAGACAGTATGTGTGTCGACATTGTGATGAGTTTACCTGTCGTGTGCTGAAGCTTATTCAGACAGTTCTGCCCTGGTTGTTTCCAGCTATTTGAATCAGTCAGGGGCTCAGTGAAAGATATGAGACGAGGCAGAGGCTTGAATACTGTGTTCAAAATGGACTGGACGCTAGATATTCATGACAGTGATAATTTGCAAACTTGCAAACCAAATGTAGATTCTGTTCCAATGATATAGGCTGGATTTTTCATCATGATTCCTGAAAAAACAGTTGGGGTTATGTTATTTAAACAAAGGTAAAATCGGAGGTTAAAGGAGGAGGTTTTCATCAAACATTGGGTCTTCTACAGAATGTATTATAAATTAATTTCTTCCTGTTTTGTTTTGGAAATCAGTCAGGCACATAATTTTGCAAATCAAAATATTTCCTGAGATGGCCAATCATGCCTTATGGTGCATTTGTTGAAGTAATGATCAAACGATTCTTTCTTTAATGAGAGTTCCATCAATTAAGCAGAATAATCGATGATCTTAGCCTCAGGCTTTCCATTGCCTGTAAGACTGTTGGGTCACCATGACCAGGCCTTCATGATGCACCTCAAACATTCAGGGAGTCTTGAATTCAGCAACTAGGTCACAGTTCATGGTACTTTTTACATATTGTGTATAAAGTATGATAACAGCACTTCTAGGGGTGGTGGGGTAGCCAAGTGGTAATAGTGTTTGGTTGTCATGACAAAGGCCTGGGTTCAGTTCTTCAAATTGGATCATGTGGAGAGCCCATTTCATTGTTTCCCCATCATGATATTCCTGGAATGTTGTTACAGCATCATAAATCCATACTAACTCAACCACACTTCTGTACAGTTGATAGGTATAAATTTCATAGAAGAAATAATGAACACTGTCATACCGCATTATAAAGTTTATTTGTTGAGAATGTGGCTATGATTATGTTAATGGTGGCAGTTGGTTTTAGGAGTACTTACATTGATTTGCAAAACTGCTTAGAATACACCGAGTTCCTGTTTCAGGAACTCATGGGAAATCAAGCAAACATCTAGACACAAGTGTATACACATTTGGGCGGTGGGGTAGCCTAGTGGTTAAAGCGTTGGCTCGTCACGCCAAAGACTCGGGTTCGAATCCCCACATGGGTACAATGTGTGAAGCCCATTTCTGGTGTCCCCTGCCGTGATGTTGCTGGAATATTGCTAAAAGAGGCGTAAAACCAAACTCAGTCAGTCAGTATACACATTTGGTTTGTGTGTATCATCTCATCATTAATTTCCAATTTCCAGATTTCCAAAGAGGCTGCTTTAAGCCTGTAACTAAAGTCTGTTTTGATTGGCTCATCATGGTGATCTATCAGCTGTTGATATACGATGTAACCGATAGCCTCAACATGGTTTACTAGTGTTACTAAACACTGAGTGAGTTCCCTTTGCAAGTGACTGGTGGGTGATTATGGGGTGGTATTAAGGGTAGCTCCTCGGGGATCAGGGGGGTCAGGGTAGGGACAGGTGGCTTGGGTGTCAGGTGTGGTTTTATGATGTGGAGCAGTTGGGGATCCAACTACAGATCAAGGGGGATTGTGAAGATTGTGTGAGAAACTTGGATTGTAAGATTAATCCGATGAAATCCGCTAGATAAGTTGTGAAACTTTGAACTCCATCACAACATTTAATTTGCAAATTGTAGTGTTACATGTTGGTGAGTGTGATCAGAATAGCTTTGTTCAACAGGTCATCTGAAAATAATGAAGTTGAACAATAAAACTTTAAATTATTATGATCCAGTTCTATTTAAAAATATCAGGTTCTATTTCATTTGTCCAGAATTGTTACTACCATGTCACAAGGATGACCAGGCACCTAGTTTAATAAGTTTTTGTAGTGACCAGCCAAATAGAAGAAATGTAAAGACAACTTCAGATGACATAAGAATTGTAATTCAGTGTTTCAGGAGCTGTTGATATGCATGTTGATATTACCATTAAGATTGATATTTAAGGTATGAATATTATGGACTCAGATTTGGTTGTAGGACAAAGACTAGACACCCATTCTCACACACCTTTCTGTCCTGAAAGGTTCAGTTTTATTTTGTATATTGAAACATTGTTCTTTGGTTAAATGTTGATAAACCACCAGTATCACCACAATGGTTTATCCCATGGTTTCTGGACATTGTAAGCTGTGTAATTCTGTCTGTGATGTAAATGTATAGGATTTATTCCCCAGTGTACTACTTAGTGTACTACATTGTGTTAAGTGATGTGCAACAATGTGTTAGCCTGACAAGCATCTGTCTTCTCCCAAGGGGATGTCTCTAGTGCAGTACAGCTAGTTGTCGTCAGTTCCATCCAGGGAGTGTTTGGGCAAGTCTATGTTGCCTGTATAAGTATACTGAATGTGACTGAGTTTATGTGTCTCTTGTAGGTTATTGTATTACTAAAGGGATTTGTTGGTTTATGAAACTGTATTCAACTACATGTACATACTCAGTAGCTCAAGCCTGAATATTCTCTGCTTCGTGTATGGAGTATCTTGTGGTATGGCTGTTTTTCAGTCTTTTGGGAGAATTGAGAGTTATGTAGATTGGTACTTATTCACAGCTTGTGTGTGAATAGTCAGTATTGATCTCAGTTTTGAATCAAAGGTTGAACGTTGGTGGTTTAAGTGCTAGTTGAAGGTCTGTTGTGGGTGTTTGATTCTCAATATAAAGGACTGGACAGTAGAAACTGAAATTAATACTGACAGATGACAAATAATTATCTGTTTTTCTCTGCACGTCCCTGTTCCTATGTGGATGATGACGACATGGTCTTTGTTCAGACTGAAGTAATATGCAGCCAGTACTCCTCCCCAGTGTATCCCTGTTATAATGCTGGTGAATAACGCTGGTGAATAACGCCACTGTATTAGTGTAGCTCCCTGGAAGCTATGTCTTGCTTGCCCACATTCACAATTTTAGGGCTGATCTGTAGCCAGTCAGTGATTGAGTTGTGAATTGCAACCAACAATTATGTGTTGCCCAATGACAGAGATTCTATTATTTGAGTTAGTCCAATGTTATAACCATGACACTGTGCAGTATGTAATGAGAGATTAGTTATAACACAATGGTAATCTGGAATGGGAAATATAACTATAGGTACAGTCTGTATCTGGAGTATGGGTAGGGGTTAATGTTTATGATGTTGATAACGAGTAGATCTGATAAAGATGTATAAGCAAGTAGGTATTGTTGTAAGCTCTAGTAGATATTACATAGGAATATAAATGATTACATATTACAAGATATGTACACCATGATGTATATTACTGGTTATAACAGCTGTAGATGTGGAATGGTAGATATGGCTCGATATTCCACAGTGATATGGCCAGATATATATACTGGTAGGCGGGACTGCAGTGGGTTGTAACTAGACAGCAATGTACCTGTTGCATGTCACCTGTGCAGTGAGGCTTGCGTGTGAAGTGCCATTTACCTGCTATAAATTATCATCAAGTGTAGATCAGATGATAAGATTATTATCCAAATATTCAATAACTTACAAAGCTTCATGTTGATGTTAGGGCTGTTTAGATTTTCTTTCATGTCATCTTGAACATTGTGAAACTTTTTCAGGAGACAAAGCAACAACTTATGAAACTGAAATTTACACCTTGAATGAATATTGGTAATGCAACCCTTCAAGAGATTTCAATACCTTTCACTCTGCACAAACGTTTTCTCAAAAATATTTGTTTGTAATTTGTCTGTTAATTCCCAATTTGTCTGTTAACAGATGTTAGTACATTCCACTTTGTAACAAATTGTTATTCAAAAAGCCAGTCCAGATTTAAATGTTTAGAAACTCAAGTGCAACAGGTGTTCCCCATTTTGAGGTGGATCATACCCCCCATGGCTCTGGTGATATGCCAGAGGTTGCCACTGGGTCATCTTGAAGGATTTCCACAACGGTTTCTGTTGCCAGCTGACTGATCGCTTTTCCATGGCACATGAGACATGAATGTTGACTGTTAAACTGGTAGGGTTGGGAGCAGATATATCAAAGACATGTGGGTGTCATTCCCTGGCCATTTGACCGGATACACAGGTTGAAGGGCAGGTTGTCTTGAATGATGTCTGCTGTTACTTTTGTCCAAAAGTACTGAATTTTGAAACACGTACAAAGTGAAGAAATGGATAAAAAAATTCAAGGAGACCTCTATTTTCCTCAATTTCTCACCTTTGTTATTATTCAAATTGGGAATTATGTGCATTGATCCTGGTTATAGTCAAGGTATTTCCAAGAAACATCCCAGTTCACGGTTGGATGGTTTACTGGCTGCAAGCAACTTTATATGCATGTTCTATTGGC